GTCATACGTGATATCAGAACAATTCAGACAGATATCTTGTTTCAGAGGCAAATTAGCAAAAGTGTGAAGCTGCTGATCATTCATTCTGCAGAAACTTTGAGGAGGAAAGAAATTTGAGTAGTAGTAGACTCATCATTTAAGAAAGAAAATTGTAGTATATAAGCAAATGGTACCTCTTGCAGATGTGCTTTAAGACTTGTAAAAATTAACTTTTTAATTGTAAAAATAACCCATGCCCATTGCCTGGTGGTGCTTAGTGTATGTTAGCCTTCAGAGTAGCAAACTGTTTAATTTTTTTTAAATGGCTTAATTTCTATTTTAATTATTGAGGTTAATACATATTGTGCTTTCTATCTTCATCACACCTGTTGCATACGAGGAACCAGGAACCGTCGTGTGGCTTCAGGCAAATTACTTCCTTTCTATGCCTTGTTTTCCTCTCTGCCTCTTTTGAATCGATTTCTAATTCTAAGGCTTCTCATTGAATGGATTCCCTCCTAGCTCCTCAAACCTGCGGCCTTCTCGTTTGTATCATCAGGGTGCTTACTTTGCCACTAGATGGCACTAATGTACCTTTGAACCCAGTCGCCTCTGGGTTTTCAGAATCTTGGGTGTGAAGAAGCCTTGGAATTTTTGCTTGATCAAATCCCCATTTAACAATTGGGTGACTGAGACTCAGAGGTTAAGTTACTCAGAGTCTCTTGAATCCCACTCACCCGTCTTCCCCTCTATTCCACTGTTTCTGTAGGGGGCTTTGTGAGGGAAACTCAGAGAGAAACTTCTCAACCATTCTTGTTCTTTGTTAATTATTTTAAAAATATTTTTAAACCATTCTTTAAGTTCAGATACCATCACATTCAAAATAAGTAGTTGGCTTCCTTTTGTGTTTCTGTATTGGCTCCCTCAGAGAAAAAAGCTAGACTGTCAGCTTCTAAAGATCATTGCCCTACCAATAACTAGCCTGCCTTTACAGTTTGCCCTGGAATGAGCCCTACAGGTATCTCAGCCAGCCTCTCTGTCAGACGATCATCTTTCTCCATTCTTGCCCAGTCCCTTTAATAAGAGGTTTGCCTTTCAGCTCATCCCTCCAACTAAATATGGTTGTCCATTCTTGTGCTTCATCTGTGTCCACTTGCCTAACTGAGAGAGCTTTGGGGGGGTAGATGCGCTCCGGTTCTTAAAAAATTGATCTCCTGGGTTTTCCCAGCCCATGTTGACTGTGTTCTTTTATTCCTCTCTCACTCTATTGGTGGCAAGGGTGGTATGGCCATAAATCTTGGCTGTATGTGGGCAGAATGGTACAGTGGGAGGCATTGTGGCATGTGGAGAAATCGTGGGCTCTGCAGTCCCATTGCCTAGGTCAGGTTTCTCCTCTATCGCTGATGTCCTCTGTGACCCCTCATCATCTCTCTGATGAGGGTGATATTTACTACCTTGTGAGGCTCTTGTGAGGAAGAAATGAGGTAATGTGTGGAAAGCTCCTGGCATCCATTCTTGGCATACATAGTCCATGCTCGTTAAGTGCTCACATTCTGACTGCTGTTGTATATAGTGGAATAGGAGAGACTAGAGCACATGAAAGGTAGGAGCCTAAGGGAGGGTCTCAGCCAGAGGAGCTAGATTTTTTTTAAGATTTTATTTTTAAGTGATCTCTATACCCAACGTGGGGCTCAAAGTCACAACCCCAAGATCAAGAGTCGCACGCTCCACCAACCGAGCTAGCCACATGTCCCAAGGAGCTAGATCTTTACTGAAGAAAGAAGGGAGGGAGGGATGCAAGGTATGCTGGGGTCGATGTCAATGTTTTGGAGAAACAGTGTAGAACTGTGCTGCCCAGTATGGTGGCCGCTAACCAGTATGGCAGTTGAACACACTTGAAATGTGGCTGAAGTCAAAATTGAGATGTGCCATAAGTGCAGGCTACATAGCAGATTTCAAAGACTTGGTATGAAAACAATAAATATAAAATATTTCAATAATTCTGTATACTGATAGCATGTTCCAATGAGACTGTCTGGATTTGTAGAGTTAAATAAAATGTCACTAAAATTAATTTCACCTGTCCCTTTTTACTTTTTAAATGTGGCTTCTAGAAAATGTAATGAGGCTAACATTATATCCCCACGTTGACTGGAAGGTAGAGCTCTTTGGTATTCAAGCATATACAATTTTAATTTGGGGAATCATCTGAGAAGTTTTTCTGAGGCTTTTGATTTTTTCTTTTATGGTGTTCTGTTCTTAAGAGCATGACCTGAATCAAGACGCTGGTCACTATTGGTAGTAATAGTTTAAGTAATAGTTTAAAATGAGAAAAGTAAGAGGTACCAAATGTTCTCCTTAGTCCTCCAAATTCTGAGGACCTCAACGGAAAAGCAAGGTATGAATGCATCATTTATGGCTTAGTGGGTCAGTTACAAGCAATTAGAAGATCTTAGAGTTTGTTTTTTAAAAAGCCATTTCATGGGGCGCCTGGGTGGCTCAGTCGTTGGGCGTCTGCCTTCGGCTCAGGTCATGATCCCAGGATCCTGGGATCGAGCCCCACATCGGGCTCCCTGCTC